TTAAAACTAGTGCAGTTGTCCCTTCCATCTGCTTTAGGCTTTATTTTCTTCTTGATCTACCTCTGTTCCTTTTCTAGACCTTGGGCTTTATCTTCCTTAATATTCTTTATCTTTCTTAGTATCCCTTGCTTATGTGGTTGCTGTCTGGGAACATAGACTGACCAAGACATAGGTGAAGAATAATTTGAATTCAATGGTACAGAGGCAACATCAGGCTAAGGAAAGTTAGCAGGAGAAATGGAAAGTTAGCAGAGGACATGTAAGGAGAGGCAGAGCAATTTCTCCCTGCTTGTGGCTGGAGGAATGGGCCCTTACCCCACCTCCTGCAGATGCAGCTGAGGAGCAGCTTGGACTCTGTAGCTGACACAGCATAATTGCATGGCAGATGATCCCTCAAGGCAGCAGGAGCAGTAACACTCTCCTCCCACTTCCTTCCTCTCCCTGACATTTCTCTTCTTAGAAACAAGTCTTGACCCCAGCCCTGCCGTCTTCCCTCACTGCCCAAAGAAGATTGCTGAAGGGCAAGGAGGAAAAAGGAGGTCATGGTGAGGGTGGGGATAGTCGGCGCCTTGGGGAAAGTGGTTAATGAACTGCATCCAAGGGAAATGAGGCAGAATGAAAGAGAAAAGAGGGAAGAGGAAAGAGGAGCTACCTCTACACACAGCTCTGTAAAGTTCAGTGATTCCTCCTCTGCCTCCTTTGTTGATCTTTAATTCCCTACCTTACAAAAACACTGGCATCTCACTATTCTCCCACTCCATCTTGGCCTCTTGTCAGACCCACAACACTGGAATTTTACCTGTGTGACTAAGAAGTCAGCCTTCCACTGTAAGGATTTGCTCACCTCTGGGAACCTGTTCCTGTTCTCTGAAGATGCCACTAATAGAATTGCATTGTTTGCCTGCAATGATTTTAGAGTGAGGCATGCTATTTCTAACATTTAGGAAAAGTAGGAAAATTATTAATAAATTGAAGAAATAAAAACAAAAAATTAATTTGGAACAATTTTTTTCCTGGGAGTAGAATGCAAGTGAGAGCATTTGTTCCTGTCTCAAGACAGTTGGGCTATATGGTATTAAACTCTGTATCTTGTGATGTTTAATACTGTAACAGTGAGGAAAGAGAGGCCAGGTGCAAATGATATCCCACTGATAATCCACGTAGAATAAAATGGAGATAAAGTATAAATTATGCTACTGGGACTAAAAATGTGCAGCACAAAGCTGTCTATTATCTCACTTTTGCTCCTAAGCACTGTTAACCATGCTAGGAATTTGCTGTTCACAAAGTGACTAAACACTCCTAGGGATTTTCAGAGATATTCTGTATTGGCTACAAGAGGGTAAAAGTGAGGGAAAACAATGAGAGCTTTTTGGACTGAGCAGGGGAGAATCAAAATGAAGGAACTGGTGGGGCTCATTCACACACATGTCCAACTCTGATTTGGTGATAGAAAGCTAAGCTGGCTAGATAGTTGACACCTCTTATACAATAGTGATATTTATGTTTATGTTTAAAATTAAATTAGTCAGAACATTGTGGAATCTCCAAACTTAAAGATATGCAAAATTTTGCTGGGAAGGGCCCTGAGCAACCTGGTGTGTCTTTGAAGTCAAGACCAGATGACTGTTAGCCTCCTATTCCAACCCAAGTTGTTCTCTAACTCTATGAACTTCAGGACACCAGTTTTTGCAAATAACTGACTTTGTTCAGCTGAGTAATATTACTTTCATTCTTACGTATTAGAAGAATTAGTACTGGAATAAACAATAAGGCCCCAAGATCACTTTCTGTCATCTCTATGGAATTATCTTCCCTTTGTAAGACCACAGGAAAGCAAACAAGTGTGGTCTCACTAATCCTTTGAATTAATTTTGTGTCTTTGCATGTGTGAAATTGCAAATATATATGGGGTGTAGTGGTAGAGCAGTAAAAGCCTCTAAAGATGGAGCCTAAAGCTGTGAGTATGAGCCTTCTTCCATACTTGAGCTGAAAGAAATACTGAGGGTAAATGAGAGCGCAATCTACCTGTACTTCATGACACGGCAGAAGGCTGAAGTCTTTGTGACATGGTCCTACTTTTTGCTTCTTTGAGGATGGAGAGAAGAAGCTATAGCCTCATCTATTGGCACAAAGGAGAGGATTTGTTCCATGGTGGACAATGGGGGCCTGATATCTGGCATACAACTTGGGATTAGGTCCAGGCTTGTTCCTTTATAGTGCTGTACTTTAGGTACTTCTTAATACAGAAGCTACAGTACCTCAGGTGTGAAAGGCTGTTGAAAATTTTAGTGGTTAGACAGATATTTCTTTAAGATCTGAGAACTCCAGCATCCATTCCTTAATCGAGTGTGATTTGCCAAGTCCCAAAATGGTTTCAAAGTTTTCAGTCTCTGAAAATATAGGACTGAGAATGCATGTTTCTCTTTTTTGGTTTTGTTTTTGGGTTGTTTGTTTTGGAGGGAGATTTTTTTTTTATTTTTGTGTATTAGAGATGGACAGACTGCACAGCTGGTTAAGGAAGTGACTATGGAGGACAAGAATATGGCTACTTGTTGCTGTGCTGGCAGGAGAAGTCAACAGAAATCAGGAGACAGCACTGAAACTATTTGTCTACATACAGGAGCAAATGTACTTCTTTGTGTCTTCTGTTTGTGAAGAAGTATGTTTTAATTGATAAGAACTACAACAGCCTGAAAATAATGCAGTTTTATAACAAATCTGCTGTGTGTCCTAAGGAATTTAGTGTCCTAAGGAATTTAGGTGCCCTATTTCTATGTGGAGATCAACAGAAACTCCAGGTCAATAGTAAACGCATTGTTAGCTCTCTTGCAATAAATTTCCCCGTTTGTTATCTCTTGGCAAGCAATCAACTGAGATAAAGGAAAGTGAATGAAAATATTTAAACTATTTACGCACTAGTGAAGGTGGTGTCATGTTATCTTCCTTCTTTTGCAAGACCGTGTTTGCTCCCAGCAAGTCATGTCGCCTAGGTCCTGCCAAAGTATGTGTTATCTTGGAGGATGAAGGGGGAAAGCTAAAACAAGTAGAACAGGCAAAATACTGTCTGGTGGAAGTGAAAAAACATTCCACCACAGACCACCCAGCACTGATGCTACGCTGTACATACTGGGATCAGGAAAAAGCATAGCCTTCTTGCAGTAACTGCACTCCCCAAAACCTTTCTCTTTCACTCTTCTGGTACTTCTCTGTGACAGTTCCTCACAGTTCTGTTTCCCTTCTTGCTTCAGTGACAAAGAGAAGAATAATTAATTCTGGAGAAAAACTAACTTGCCATAAATGTCATGTCTCTTAGCATAGTTATTCTCTTCAGTTACTAAGTAAAAGCCCGTAAAGTTTTACAAACCAGCCACAAAGATAACTGAAAAACTCCTTCCCATTTCCCATTCCCCTGGACTCTCTGAGGCAATGCTGTGGTCTCAGTGACATGTAGATTCTGCACTTATCCAGCTGCCTTCCACACTGCTTATCAATATTGTATCAATATTGTAGCCCAGAGTTAGGACAGCCCCTCATTCCTCACTGAAATCAGTGAACAAATTCTGATAAAAGAATCATAGAAACATAGAATATCTCAAGTTGGAAGGGACCAACGCCCTGTTCCTCGCAGGACTACCTATAAATAAACCATGTGACTAAGAGCATTGTCCAGACGCTTCTTGAACTCTTAGAGGCATGGTACCATGACCACTTCTGGGAAAGACTGTTACAGTGACCAACCATCCTCTGGGTGAAGAAACTTTTCCTAATGTCCAATCTAAACTTCCCCTGATGCAGCTTCATTCCATATCTTCATGCCCTCACTGGTCACCAGAGAGAGATCAACACCTCTTCCTTCCCCCATTGAGGAAGTCGTAGTCTGTGATGAGGTCACCTCTCAGCCTTCTCTTCTCCAAGCTGAACAAGCCAAATGACCTCAACCACTCCTTGTAACTCTTGCCCTCAAGAGATTTCACCATCTTGATCACCCTCCCCTGTACACACTCTGTTAGTGTGATGTTCTTACATTGAGGCACCCAAAACTGCACACAGTACTTGAGGTGTGGCCACACACAACCAGTTCAACGTAGAACAGAACAATCACCTCCCTCGACTGGCCCATGATGCTTTGCCTGATGCACCCGAGGACGTGGTTGGCCCTTTTGGCTTCCAGGGCACTGCTGACTCATATTCTACTTGCCATCAAACCAAACCCCCAGATCTCTTCCTACAGGGCTGTTCTCCAGCCTCTTGTCCCCCAACTTGTAAGCATAATAAGGATTATCCTATCCCAGGTGCACTTGAAATACTCCAAATGAAATGCATTTGCTTAAACATGTTTTTATTATGATAAAAGGAGCAAAAGAGTACATCTGCAAGACCCATTATCTATGGATACATGGAGAAAATTTGGTCATGATGATTAAGCCAAAAAGATTTAAGGAGAAATATGAATTGTAAGATTCCTATAATGGATCTTCAGAAAGTGAGGAAGAGCCTTGCAGGGTCAGGAGCAGAAAATAAAATCAATTGCTTTGTCAGAGTAAGTATGGTGCCAACCATAACTACTGGTATGATAGTTTAGAGTCTAATCTGGGAACTTTCCAGTGACTATTGCAGAGAAGTCACCTCAAAATTTGTTCATAGAGAAACCTGGCTTAATTAGAAGGATGCAATTTTTTTTCCCCCATAAAACTTCAGCTGATAAAGTGGGTTGTGTTTTCTCAGTGTGATGATTCGGCACTATTATTGTTAACTTGCACCAGAAACATCTCTGTTCATGCTCATGCTTTCTTTGGGTCCAATTTTCATTCCATTAACTCTTCATACATAAGTAAGTAATCCTTCCTCTGCAGGAAGGAAAGGCAAAGGACCTCTGTTTTCATGGCATAATTTCTCTGCCTTAACTTCTTTTTTTTTTTCTTTTTTTTTTTAATAAAGCCTTCTGGTTTTAGAAAATATGGATGAAAGAGAGAGTATGTGTTTCTTTTTACCCTTGATAATGCAGCATTTTGGGTCTTGCTATGAGAGACAGAAACTCTTTCAGCTTCCCTATCTTTAAGGTGAAAAGCATCTGCCAAAGAAGAAGATGCTGTTGCTTGGGTTGTGCTTGATCAAGAAAAGGAAAGGGCGGTCAACCCTAAACTCTTCAGAGACACTTGTATCATCCACCCCAGCTCCTACCACCTTACTGCCTGCTTCATTGATTTCCATAGACGCCTCATGGAAGGCTGAAGACACCTTCAGTCTCTCTGCTGAAGAGATACCAGAGAGATTGGCTGATGAGCTGAACAGGTCAGTGATACCCAAGGACGTTAATACAGATGTAAGGTTATATTTTTCCTCAATCTTCATGCGAGGGAGATAAACTTTAATTTTCCTTTCTTCCATCTTAGTAGAACTGGTCCACTCCTTCAGATTTTCAAAGGTGATTGCAGTCTCAAGCTGCAAGAAGACAAGCAAATTAGACCTCTGGGACGACAGGACAACTTTTGTGGCAATGTAGAACTCTTTATGGGTTTTTTTCTCTTAAACTAACTGCTCTTGTCATAGTGTTTTCTAGGTGTATGCAGATTAATATGTCTAGAAGAGAAAAGCAAACCTTGCTTTGCTGTCCTGTTTCTATTTCTTTAATAGGCTCACTGCCATTTAATTTTCTTAATGAAATGGCTACTCAGCAAATTTCACCAAAAGTCTTGCCTATTTATCTTCTTTTCTTTAGAAATATATTCCAAAAATCATTCTGTACTAATGAGTTATAAGCTCTATCTACATTTAAGACTGCAAAGTAACAAGGTTTTGATGGTAGTTTATTACTAATACCTGAATGATCAGTTATTACTGAAGAAATTTAGCTATGTTCAAATGTCTCTTTTTTTATAATTTAAATTCTTTGAGTTAGTGTAAAGTCATTTCAATTAACTCTGATTTTTTACATCACTTTTCCTATTCAAACTGCAGTCCTCCTAATGGCAATATCCCATGACTGTATTCTGTTCATATCAACAATAGTATGTCATACACATTTTGCTTTCTGAAACTGCTTTAACCATTCCAGTACTCCTCAGGTTCAGTTTTTAGATACTTTAATTTTTGAAGGTATGAAGGAAACATGTTGAATGCTGTCAAACCAAGTAATAATTATGAATAGTCAAGCTGACATGAATTTCGCAGGAAGCTCGTCAGTGTGCAGGAATGGAGATATAAAACCTTTGGAGTTCAAGCTGCTGGCGTAACAGCTCCTTATCTGAGAAGAATGTGTTCTGCAGTGACAAATAGTTAACCCACTATAGCAGTTCCTTAAGCAATCCATGCTCATCAAAAACTACTGGAGGACCACTGAGACAGCTGCATGCTTCTATGCAACAATCCCATGTTGCCAATATTTAGATCTGTGCTTTAAGACAACTTTATCACGAAGAGCTTTTCAGCACCTAAATTTCACCATTTTTATGGTTTTCTGAAACCCAACTGCCAGGGTCATACCTGCTCCAGGCCAGAGATGTCATCAGGCAACAGCACCCACAGGCTCAGCTGCCCACTGGCATATGGAAGCTCCAGGATCCTAATTTTCTCAGAAGCAATCTCTGCTACTCTAAATGAACCAATCTGGAACATCATCTGCACAGGTTTGCTTTCTTGCTGCAAAACCAAATAAGATAATAGAGTTTTCACAAAGATCATTCCTAAAGTGTAGAAATGTCTACTTATGGTTTAAAATGCTAATTGCTCCTGTTCAGGAAGGATATACAACAGCTTGTTAACTCCCTTCATAAATTCTAGAAGATGACACCTTTAAGGTGATCTATGAACACATACCTCAGTAATTCTGAATGGCACTGTCTGGGTGCCTTCATCCTTAAATGCTTTCTCCCACAGTCCTTTGAAGTAAATGGCATTGACAAGGACCATATCGGTCTCTGGATTCACAGAGCTTGGTTGAAGGATATTTTTGATAATTCCTGTAAGAATACATAGGAAAAGAGAACACGTGTAACATTCCTGTGTATAACACACCTTACTTGGCAATCACAACATTAAATGAAGGGTAAAAATTTTGTGGAGAGAAGAGTGTAGGGCAGGGACATTGTTTTGGTTTTGTAGCTGTTATCTTGTACTTCCATGGTTGGTTTGCTCACTGCTGTTGGCAATGGCTGTATTTTTCCTCGCTATAAAAAGTTATAGTGAGGGGTATAAGACCCAGAGATCTACTTGTTACAAAATGAGTGTATTTCGTGACAATGGGAGGAACTATTGGAACCTTTTATCTCAGGATGGTTTCCAAATCAAACATTTAATACCTTTTGCTTCAAACCAAAGTTGAAACATTAGTGTCAAACCACTTGTCAATGTGTACAAAGCATATTTTAGTGCTGTCCCTTTTATCAAGACTGGAGGTATTACATATCCACAAAGTGCCTACAGATAAGGAGAGCCTTCTAAAATGGTATGTCTGAGGAAAAAATATTCATTAAATGATAGTTCTATATTGGGAACTGATCTATTATCCAGGAGAAGGAGCAGAGGGAGAGGTTTTAGAGTTTTTTTCTCCTTCTCATATGCTATTCAAACATAGTGACAACTACCTATGCTGATAGTTGGCTTCCTCTTACCATTTGTCTGACTTTCAACCCAGGAATTTATGAGCTCTCTGGCTTGTTCTGCAGCTGTTTGAAAGCTGATAGGTTCCAAGCCTCCCTTATACAGTTCCTTAATACATTGTAAGTATTCCTGCAAAGGAAGAATATGCCATTTTCAGAGCAGAACGTCAAAGCATTTTGCAAATGTAAAATGCAAGAATGAAATTAGCAGATATTAATAATCTGCTTGTTAAGGCTAATCAGTAAGCCGTTATTCTAGTTCATAAGCATTTTAAGATTTTACATTCATTGTTTCAAGCAAGAGTATCTGCCCACATTTTTAAAAAATATTTTCTGGAATTTAGTGTGGTTAAAAAATGACATTCATTTCAGTTAAGTATGGAATTTTTTCCATTTTTCCCACTTTTAAAATTTTTATTTTTCAATGGTATTTCCCTCTAATTTCAAAGTAAATGTTCCTTTCAATGGAAAACATTGGAATATTTTTGAGAATCTGAAGTTATTTTTCAGGTTTTTTTTCAAGTTGAGAAAACAGTTGGAGTTAACTTTTACCGACAAAAATTACCTTTATTAATTATACTTTGACTTGATTGGATTGTTATGATACTTTGCACAAAAAAATGTACAAACATCTTTTTGACTAGCCACATTTTTTCTCAAGACTGTCAAGGGTTATGGCTGTGATAGAGAGAAGTCATGAATCCTTTCTTCTATATGGAAGAAAATTTCTTTTGCAGAACCTAGAATTCTGACAGTGCTTTTTGCATTACAGAAAGGTACAGCTTTGACATGAAAATATATTCAGATCAGATCTTAGAGCAACTCACCGGCAGGATTGGATACTTCTCTTCAGCATAAAGTCTACTGGCAATACCAACTGTATAATTGTCACTTGGTTTGGTGATTTGGGTGAATATGTCTTTAAGTGAAGTGTGGATGCTCAGAGATGTGCCGCACTGCATCGTTGACAGGAACACAAATAAAAAGACAGATGATGTTATCCTAGTTTTAATAATTAGTAGGTTTTATATGCTATATGAAAGGAGTAGAGTAGTTCAGACATTTCTGCTTGTAAAACTGTTTCTCTTGAACCTGGTTGCTATAACTATGATAATATAGTGTTTTTGTGATATGTACAATTCCATGCTGGTTTTCTAACTGTAATTTCCTCATAGCTTTCTCAGGGGAACTCTTAATTACCTGCTACAGTAGTGTAGCTCCAGCAGATCAGGTAAGCTTTCCTCCATTCCCAATCAGTCCCATTAATCCAGTAACATCCGGCTACCTTGCCTAATCATACAAATATCTGTAATTTTGCCCTATTTGCCCAATATTATGGTAATGGCTTTCATTTTATGCTTGTTCTGAATCCTCAGTTACCTGCCTTCTCTGTCTGTTCTTATGAATGTAGTGTTCCCCCAAATGCTGGATGCAGAGCACTAACTGCTCGCTGGAGAAGGGTTTGAACTGCTAAGAGACTGTTTTATCTGATAGTTTTTGCTCCCAGGAGAAAGTGACACAGAGAAGGAGATGAATTTTTTCTGTACCTGAGATTCAATACTCTCTCCAAATCCTGGGATCTTATCGAAGTGAACAGCCTGTAATTGAGAATAACAGTAGTTGAAATAACAGGTATGACAAGAAAAAGGTTATGCAACTGAGATTAACGCATAAGATTTGAAGCAAACGTATTGGCTAACTGAGAAGCGGGATGACTCAAAAAGTGCAATCCATCTGTACCATCTGTGAATAGCCATGCCTGCTGTTGCCTGTGTGGATGATCTTTTTGCTATTGAACAGCTAGGAATCAGCTCCAGTGTGTGTTATCAATAATACCAATTTCTTCTAGGTAACAAGCCAGCCACTCTCTATGGAAGTAGTGAGAGCTGTAGGAAGCACATGAAACACTTCTCAGTCTGGAGATATTTTGGCTCTTTCCCTAGAGATTATGTCTCCTTTCCTTGCTCCAAATAAAGGACCACTACAACGTGTTGTTGTTGTCTTTGAGAATCCTGTTGCTAACAATGTTAAAATTTAAATCTGTGAGTTTGAGGTGGCCATAGCTTTTGATAACTCTGGATGTACATTTTTTAGCCTCTGATTTATGCAAGGGATGCTATATCATTAAGTGCTGTTGAGCAGCAGAAGGGTTTCAATCCTTAACTGTAGCCTCACCTTTTCTATCTGAGCCTTGGTGTTATCTCTTGCACCTAGGTAGACCATGGACAGAGCTGAAATGATGGTCACAGGGGAGTAGAAGATGTTCTCCCGAGCATGCTGGATTCTTAGCTCCTTGAATACATCACAACAAAACTCCACGCTTAGTGGACCGATGGACCCCATTGTGAAACCAGTATTCTCTAGAGCAGAAGTACAATAACAATGTAATGGCATAGCATACAAACACAGCAGGTTTAATAGCAGTTTTTGAGCAATGAAATATAAACAAATGGTTTTGAAATCATTCTGTGGTAACATGCCTACTGTTACTCTCACCTGTCATGAATGTTAGAAACTCTGAATTCATAAATGTTTCTTTCTGCATTTGTATCATTGCCTTTTTGTAACAGTTCCTCAGAGGTCTTAAGTCTGTTTACCTTTTTAAAGCAGTCAAACAAGAGTTACCTGTACTTATTTAATTCACTGAAGGCTAGAATTCCTTAGTACTTTGTAGTAGCTTTGATGAAAACAAGAAAATATTACCTCTGATATACTTGCAAAGCTGGAAATTTAAGTGCAAATTACGTTAGACTTGCTCTAATTTTGGACAGATATAAGTAAAATCAGAGGTTGGCTGGCTATTTTTGTTTTTTAAAAGTAAGTGCAGTAAAATATCTATTTGTTGCACAGTACTTACTGTCAGTAGATCTTCAAAGGCCTGTAGCTTTACCTTTGTTTTAGTAATGGAAGTATGGATAGGTGATATAATTTGTCTAAGGTACAAAGTCTAGGAGCAAGACTGATGCTCAAAATTTGTGTTTCATCGTATTGTGCTTTCAGATACAGCTTGCTTTGCTTAAATATACTACACTATAACCTTCCTGAGAAATTAAATTGTGTTAGTGGCATTCAGGTAGAAGAGAAAGGCAGATATGACAAAGTAGCTATGTGTACAGTCATTCAGCACAATCAAATGAATATTTGTTTGTGACATACACCAGTAAAAGCTTCATGTTTGTTTCTGTCTGAGGCTGCTCCAAAATGCTGGATGGTATAAGTCCTGTCTAGCCACTGTGCTTGTATAAAGCACAGCTTCTGAGGTCAGCATGGATTTAGTTTCCATCTTGTGATTTATAGGAATTTCAAAAGTTTGTTGTTTTTCAAAATCCAGCCTCTTATGTAGGAGCTAAATGCTGGGATCTCAAGTTTATCTTTGTAGTCTTAAGCTCCACTAAGGTTTTTTTGTGACTGTACTCTTGGATATACACATACACTCACACACATATTTCTCTCACTTTCCTTTCTGTATACATGTTCCCATTTATAGGTTATTTAAGAATTGTACATCTGTACACACACACACCTTTTTATCTCGTGTAGTGTTCACCAGCTATATTTTCCAGGGATGCAACTGTTAGAGAAATTTCACACTAAAATAAACTTATCAAATTCACTGTATGGCGCAGTTTTGCCTTCAGTGCACTCTATTGAAACCAGAGGTCAACCGAGTAAACTTATTATTTGACTGCCAAAATCAAACTTAAAAGATACTGAATGGTAGGATAGCATGCTCTGAAATAAAATCATATTTTAAGCACAAAATAATATTTGAAGCACAATGAATAACTTTTAAAAAATCTCAAAAAAATCCCAGATACTCAGATTTTACACATAATAAAATAGTGTGGAATGCATGCACACGAGTGAGACTTGTAGAAACTATCATGTAAATATTCTGTCCTGAAAAATGCTTTCTAGAGCAAAGATATGAAACACAGAACAATATTTACTCTCTTTTTAAGTTTAGTCATAATCCTGAAATAATATAGTAAGAAAGTAAATTTTCCTAGAGAAATGCTTACCTATTGAGTTTCAGCACCAATGGTAATACAGCTTTTCAGCTGTATGTAGACATACTGGCTGAGCCTTTGGGAATTTATACAGTCTGAATTGTGAGCCACCCACTGCTGCCTTTCAGAAGTTTGATCCTTGACACCATAAAAATAATTTAATGGTATTAGGTCAGTTTTTTGTTTCAATGAGTTTGTTTTTGATTGAAGGGAGAGCAAATATTAGTTTTTTATTCTATACAACAGTGCTTTCCATCAATACATCATTACCATTAGGCTGAAGAAAAAAACTGGGAAATAATGCTCGTGTTCCTTAAAGCCTCATTTGCAACTAGGTACTGGGATGGCAGTAAAAACAAAAAATGTGAACAGCTTAGTGGTGGAGCACATAATTAGCAGTTATTAGTCAACCTGTCAATAATTAGTTGAATTATTATTCTGGTTGTAGTAACAGACCAGAACTCTCTATCAATTAACCCTTTCTGAATGCACAAAATGCACCCAAGCCATGCCAAACAGAAGAAAAGGAGAACAGGTCTTGGCCTATTAGTCTACTAACAAAACTGGGAAACTAAAGAAGGGTGCATGTGAGAAAACCAGTTAAGACGAAAGTTAAAAACAGGCCCATTTTCTTTGAAAAGCTGGGATGTTTAAAAAAAATCTTTTAGTGATTGTGGTTTTATAGCAAACTAGTTTATTCTCAGGGCTTTAATAGCAAAACATAGCTTTCGACAAAGTAAAAATATCCAAGTGTGTTTGTAGTATACAATTGCAGTGTCTCTCTCAGATCTTCAAAGAGTAACTTAATGGCCTGACAGAGGACAGAGGAACTGTGAAATCCAGCTAGAGGAGTGTTCATGCTCTGTGGGACAATCATAATGTACAATAGCAAATATATTTCAATTATAAAAACATTTCAGTTATAAAAGCTATTGTTCTGTATTGAAATAATAGAAGGGACAAACAGTAAAGAAACCATTTTGACCTCTGTAAAGTACTATGTGATTTTAAAAAAAGGAGGAGGGGAAATCCCGAAGTCTGTATGACATAAGTCTTTCCAACATATGGGACATGACTGTGATCCCTGTTAAGAAGAGGTAGGCTCCTGTACTGCTGTCAAAAGTTTAAGCAGTGCAGTGTTCTTTGTCTCAGTTTGTTTTATTTTGTAAAAATAAACATGGTGTAGAAATCTACATTCTCCTTGATAGCAGAGGTGTTATCACCAAGGCAGTCTGAGGGCTTAAACAAGACAAGATTGTAGTGGAAGTGTTATTTTTCATTAGATCTCTACTCCATAGGTATCAGCTAAGTGTTTTGGTTTAGTTTGGGGTTGGGTTTTTTTTCCCCACGGGTAGGCTGGCAGATACATATCTGTACTTAAGCACAGAATAATTCTTACTTTTTTTTTAAGTCAGGCCTACTGCTTCTGTTTCAGCCCTTAAGAAGGCATAAAAAGCTTGTCTGCTTTTTGTGATGATAGAAGTGCTCCTCAGAAAAACATTGTCCTTACCTAAAAAATATATATTGGTATGTGAATGGAGAAAAGGAATGGAGAATGAGTCTTGCAGGTGCATTGTCAATCAAAAATCTTCACCATCTGTTCTATCAGACACAAGTAACAAGTTGTGTACATTTATTCTACTTGGCTCTTCATATCTGTTTGTTAATATACAGATCAATGTAGACCAGATGATCCTGACACACTGTGATATCCTAGTGACATAACAGGGGAAAGGAGGATGGTTTTGCCTCTCACCAAGGCAAGGAACTGTTTACCAAACAGTCAGATGCTGGAGAAGACATCTAGCCTTAAAGGGATGCTTCCAGATACTTTACAGTGTCTGGATGATGCCTGCAGTCATATGGTTTATATACAGGTAGTCCTGCAGAGGTGGACTTGATGATCCCTTTCAACTTGAGATATTCTATGATTATTTGAATCTAATAAGCTGTTTTCTCACACTATTTAGAGTGAACCTCGGATTTGTGCCACTCTTTTCAGTCTTTATCCCTTTTTTATTTAGGGCCACTTTGTGTTCACAGGGGTTTAGTTCTACTTCTACCACGCTGGTCTTCCATTGCTGCATGTAAGAGTTGGCTAGCATATTTAACTCAGTGAAATCTGTCTTTCTAATGTCCTTCAAGCCTCTCTGCTGAACAACCATGATCCCCCTTTCTTTAATCTGACCTGAATTACAGAAGTGTCCAGACCTGTGTCACAAGCCCAGCTCATCACATATGGCCTGTATTTTACTACCTACAAACATGTCCAGGAAGCAGCTGCAGTTTTGCTGATGATCATTTTTTCACACCATCACACTACCAGTATAGACTTAAAATTATCCCAGTGGTGATATTTTTATACCTGGTGAACGTGACTTCTGTATAGTGTCTTGGTTCCAGACCTGCAGAACAGCTTTGCTTGTGTTGGATGCAGTGCTCTGTTTCATAAGTTATACAAAATCCATATTTTCTCTCCAAGAATTGGAGTTTCAGGTTCAGAACACATCCACAATAAGCAAATACGTGGAGGATAATAAGCTCTGCTTTTATAGCGTATGATAAAGGGATGCTGTGCTCTTTCTAAGAGGTCTCTTGTGGTTTTCTGTGCTGAAACTGATAATTAATTGCAAGCCAGTTTTAAGCAACTGAATATACTCATGAGCAAATTTAGAACTGGATCAGAGCAGACCATCAGCATAGCATCAACACACAGGGGTCTTGTACAGTTTGCTTGACATGGGATCTAGAGAGAGTAAGCAAAACTTCCTGTAGTTGAAGTTTACCTGGGACAACTGGCAATGGATTGCCCTGTCCAACACAACTGTGCAAAGCAGTACAAACAGTTCAGTCCCACGTCCTTGTTTGACAATGCTTGTCCCAAGAAAGAGGTCAGCTAAGGCTCTCTTGCCCTTTCCTCTACCAGGCATTTAATTGTGGAGCTGTCCCTAAACCAACAGACTCTTGAGTACCTGAGCCATGAACAACTGAGAGCATAAAAGGCAATTCATACTCAAAAGGATATGAAGTCCAGGTCAGCTCACAGACCAAAGCCTCTCATCCAATCACAAAAACCTATGCAGAACTCAAGATTTTGTTCTCCTCCTTGTTCCTGCTCTTTTGCCAGTAGAAAGGAGCATGTTGATTGGTTTGTGTTTGTCTTCATTTCACATTGTGACTCTTGAAGCCATCTTTCAATCAGGGGCAGAGGCAACCATTCACAGAGGGTTAAATCATCTAGCAATTGTAGCTGCCTGTCTAACTGCTTATCATTGCAGATCTAGGTGCTGTAGCTATCAATGATGACTTCTTTCTCAGTTGTTCCATGGGACTGTTTTTTCCCCAGTACAAAGCATATGAGGTATGTGGTCAAGCTCCTTCAGACAGGTGCTCATAGCCCACATGGTACCTTTCTGCAGC